CTGGCTCCCCGCCACTGCATGCACTCCTGGGTGGAGAATGGAGGAGCATGTGCCACCCAGATTTGTGCACGGGGTAGGGGTGGGGGTGGGCTGCCCACTGCAGGCTTGGGCTCCTCACCCTGATGCCCTTCCCTGGGGCCTCTGCAGCCCAGCGGGTGGGACCTGGCGCAGCATGGCAGAGCGGGGCAGGGAAACTCAATGCTGCTGCCACTAGGAGCCCCATGCCACCATGCCCAGGCACTTGCACTACCCGCCCACGTGGCAGCAGGGGGGGTGGCAGCATGGCAGCCACCCCCACCTCGCCCAAGGCCACAGCAGGCAGCCTGCACCCACCTCCCCCATGGGCTCTCCTCCAGCCATGCCAACCATGGGAGAGGCAGAGCCAAGCCTGCAGTAAGCAAGGCGGGGAGGAAGCCAGCCTCTGCTCCACTGCAGCAGCCACCACCTCCTGCTGGGGGCAGGGGGCTGCAGACCCGGGTCCCTGGCCCCATAGCCCTGGCAGCTGGGGGGCCCCTCTGGCAGGGCTGGGAGGGGCAGAGGGCTGTGGGTGGGGAGTGAGGGGCACCAGCAGGGCTGGGGGACTTTGGGTCATGAGTGAGGGGCAATGGCATGGGCACAGCCAGGGTACCAGCATATCAGGGCTGCTCGCTTAGTCCAAAAAAAAAAAAAAAGAAAGAAAGAAAGAAAAATCACTTTTCCAGTATTAGATTTTTCGTTAGAGGAAATCATGTCAGAGATGCAATTAGTCCCACATACAGGCTAACAGTCTGCCCGAGCCGTTCGGAATTAAACAGCTCCTCGGCTGGTGTGTAAATTGGCATGTCTACATTGAAGTCTAAGCAGCCACATCAGTTCACACGAGGTGAGGCTGTAGCTCTACATGCATAAATGAAAGGCAAGTATTTTTACATCAGGAACAAGACTGAAGCAGCAGAGCGCACAGAGCAGATGCAGGAAGCTGAAACAAGTGACAAGGGTTTAATACGAGAAACTTATTCTCCTAATTGCAGCGTTTCTTTGAGTCATGAAATAACTGCTGTTCTCTAATGGAGAACAAAATTTGGGAGGGGGGTATTTCTACCTGATTTGGACTTAAAATGATACATGGATTTCCAGTGAAACATGCCAATGGGTTCTCTCTCATATTAAAGTCAATCAGCCTACAAGGAACGCCGGCTCAGACAGCGCGAACCAGCTCCAACAGCCTTGACACCCGTCTGTCATGGGATAACTCACTTAGGAAGGGGGCAAGGGTCTAGCACTAAGATTTACTCTACCCTGCACAGCTCTTGCTACTTTAACCATGATGGCAGAGCTACAGAGGCAGAAACCCTAGCATACACACAGCTCCGACACAGAAACCCCAGCGTATACACAATTTGTCAGCTACTCTGAATGACAGAAACCGTGCTGGCAAAAGCCTTTGTCTGCCAGCAAGTGTCCCTGCTAGCAGAGACATGCCAGTACTTTGACTATGGGGTGTCTGATCACTTCCCACCCTAGCCAACTTATTTCTGCCACCTGAACTTTGTAGTGAATGGTTCTCTAGGTTGATCACCTGTCGGGAGCATCCCTTATTTACCAGAGAGCAGCAGAATAAAAGCTAATGCCCTCCGGCACAGAACTGGGATCTTCCAAGTTCAGGCTGCTATTCGGTGCAGTCTGTTAGAAGCACATAACTCAAATTACCACCGTCGCATTCACACGCTGACTGAAGTGCATCTCGTAGCTGTTATCTCACAGTACAGATAAGTCTAGACATAATACACAGTGGAACAGTGCCTCTCAGAGGAACAGCAGACGCTTTCAACAACATTGACCTCCGTCTATTTAGCAATATGAAAACGCTCGTATCACTGCGATTCAAGGCAGCTCCTGCCACTCCAAGATCTTTGGGTTACTCTGCACCGCACAGGACTAAACCAAAGGCAGCAATACCCACAAGTGCCAGCTTCAAAACTCCCATTCAGTACCTAACTGGGGGCTCTACATGCCTGCCACTAGGCATGTGCACATCTCCACAAGTCCTGTGCTGAGCTGCTCAGCACCCACACACCCCAGCAGGATTCACAGATTAGGCATTCCTCCACCCACCTCATCTTTGGGGCCATACACTCCTGCCTGATCAGCCTCACACACAACCCACACAGGAGGTGGTGACTACAGGCAGTTACTGCTGAGCAGGGCGGGTAGAGTAGAGCATCCCCGTCTCGCACTCCTTCAGAGACGGCTTTGCTCCCTCCCCACACCACCAGAGACAGCCGTCCAGTGGTTAGAGCATCACACAGAGGACCAAGGTTCGAACCCTTTCCTGCTGCCTGATTTGGAACTGAGGCTCGAACCAACATCCCTCCCAGGCGAGTACCCCAATCATCAGGTATAGGCTATTCTGCAGTAAAACTCTGCTGTTGAAGACCTGCCACTTTTATAAAATATCCATTGGAGCAGGGACTGAAATCCACATCTCCCCAGGTGAGCACCAGAGTCTCAACTCTCACCACATGGCTGCTTTATGTAAGGAAGAACTCACCTCTCTTTGGCCCCCAGCTGCAGAGGCCATGGTTGTTAATCTGAAACAGCGGGAAATACCCAGCTCCTAATGAGGATGGAGTTTCGGCCTGGCCCAACCCTCAACTTAACATCTCCTACCTGACTGCTGTGGACAGCTCCTTGCTCAGTTTGCTGGCTTTCGAGAATGCCAGTCGTGAGCATCCCGTTCCTTGTGCACATTTATGCAGGATGCGGAGTTATTTCTGGGCTATGGATTCCACACAGGGTGCCTGTGACCAAGGTGTTGCGGCACTGAACCTAATTCCCCTTTGTGGCTTTAGTCTTTGGGCCTCTGTAAAGTAGGCAAAGGCCTATGTCAAATGACAACAATAGTTTTGAAGATGTTGCTACAGCTCTGGAAACTGCACAAGACAAAAAAAAAAAAAAATCAACAGCACAAGGATAACCTGCAGCCTTAGACAGCATGCAGAAGCATGTGTGAGAAAGACTGAGGCAGGCAAATTATATTTAAGATCTGTTGATATCTTCTCTTCCTAAATATAGTTACTTATCCTTGGGCTAACGCTGCCCTAAGCCTTCTCTAGATTGGCACCGTCTACCTCAGTGAAAGCCAACATTTCTGGCAGGGTTGTTGGTTATAGCCATGTCTAAGGACGTAGGAAGGCACGTTTCTTTGGGTAGATGTGGTATCTTTTATTAGACCAACTAAATAGTTGGAAAAAACTTTTCGGGCAGGCAGGTCACAAATTAGCCCCATACCTTCCAAGTGCCACTTTGATCTCCTTCCTCTGCCCAGTCTGCTGCTCTGCTTTCTACTCCCTGCCTGACCTCCTCCTCCACTTTCTGCTTCCTGCCCTATTGGCTACTGTGCTGCCTGTCCCCTCCCCAGTCTGCCAGGTGCCACAGCCAGATGCTGTCTGTGCCACTTGTACCATAGGTTGGCCACCCCTGGTTTAGCTAATCTAACAGCCTTTTCTGCCCAAGGAAGCAGGTATGGGAAAAAGATAGGGGGAGTAAAGGATAAAAGGGCATGCTCAGTGGTGCTCAACCAGCCCCCAGGCCAGATTTAGCCTACAGGGCTATATCATCCAGCCCATGGGTCCAGAACATCAAGTGGTGGAGCCGGGACAGCATTAATTTTCTGCTCCCCTGCCACCCAATTTCCAGACTCACCCAGATCTGGTGCACAAGACCAAGCCAGTACACTGGATCATGCCTACAGACCGACCCTTTGCTCCAACTCTATGCTGGATCAATCTTGTGAACCAATCCCACATGCAGGAAGAAGTCTGAGAATCACTCAGCTATGTCATACACTCTTGAAAACTCCCAGATAGGAAAATGGTGGGATTTCTTTGAGAATAACTACCATCTCCCTTTCTCCACCACGAGAGAGCCCCTGTGGCAATTTTTGGCATTGAAAGGGAATAACAAAGCAGAGTTGAGGAAAAGGCGGGGCTGGTCTCTGCTGTACCCCTGC